GCATAATTGTATTAAATTATATTATTGTTATTATTTTTCATAATATTATTGTATTGATATCCATTATTATACTAAAATATACACTTTGAGGTTGGTAAGATTTGTAATGTTTTTGTAAGTCCCTTATGCCAACCAAGGCTGCATTTATTTGATCAAAAATACAGTACAAATTGTAATACCGCTTTTCTAATTTAATCTATTTTCAAATTTAACTTATTCATATGATGGCAAAGATGAATTTTCAGCATCATTGCTCCAGTCTTCGGTGTCACATGATCATTCAGAATTTTTTAGAATATGCTGATTTGCTGCTAAAGAAACATTTATTGCTATCAAAAAAACGGATGTGCTGCTTAATATTATATTGTGAAAACTGTGATATATTTTCCAGGATTATTTGATGAACAATATAAAGCAAAAAAGCATTTATTTTAAATAGAAATATTCTGTAACATTAGAAATGTCTTTACAGTCACTTTTGATCAATGTAATGCATAGGCTACTTGTTGAATAAAAGTATTAATATCATTCAAAAAAAATCGTACTATTATAACTTATATTATTCAGAATACTATTCAGCATTACAATCAATATTATTAGTAATTTTTAAAACAAAAGGTGAAACAGACTCACCAAGATGCATATGTTAAAGGTATAGGCTAATACACACAATTTTATAAAATATCTACACATTAAACTCACCGTTTCTTTCCTTGAAGGAACTGGAATTTTTTTTTTTTTAATAATAAAAAATAAAATCACGAGATTATTTGTCATTTTAACCTGCTGACAACCTTAAAACATTTAAAAGTTCTGTTTAACAAAGTAAAATTCAAGGTATAACAAAGCAAAATAAAAGTACCCCTGGTTGGGAGTCACTACAAAAGAGTATCAAGGACAAAGCTATCAAAACATTTAGCAGACTTTTATTGTTTGAACGTACAATGTTGCACGCATAATGATCAGGGCCTAAACTTTGTGGCAAAACCTTCAATCATCATAAGCCTACCATTAATATATATATACACACACACATTTCAGTCAATCAAATGTAGTAGTAAGTCACGCATCAGTATATTAGACTGATAACCACCATGTCAGCTAAAGGATTGGCAAAATCATCACAGACCAAACATTGGATGTAAGAGCATTTCAGCTTAAATATTTTTAACCTTTCAGCCTTTGACAAAAAAAACCCTAAAAACTAAAACAATAATATCCCTGTGATTAATGTATGTAAAAACCAACAGCTAGAAAGTTTTGATACTGGAGACAAGGCCCTGGAACCGGCTGTAGGAACGTAATCTATATTCAAAACACCATCATCCCATTCCAAGAGAAAAGCCACAAATACAGTATGTAAGAATTATTTAAAAAGACACTGATTTTCATGCTATGAGAAGACAAAATTGAGGCAATTGAGATTCTAGCCAAGGAGAACATTGGTTTATTGGTGTATTAGCCAAGAAAAGTCACTTTGCTTCCTGCCCCATAAGGTAGAGTATGTAGCAAATTGAGTTAATTTGTTTGCTTTGGCCCTGCTTTGGTACTCCAGGCTCTCCTTTTCACTCAAGGGAAAACTGACAAGGATGTACCAGGGCTTAGGGCTAGTTTTCTTAAAGTGCTTGAAATTTATGTCCTACAGTCTAAAACCCTCACTTATTGACTTAATTGGATTCCCAACGCCCAAAAAACAACCCTTCTTTATAATTAAGCCGCCAGCGCACCAATCCTACAGGTTAAAAATGCAATAAACGGAAATTGAGACCAGCATCTGTGGTTTTCAGGAAAACTTTTAACATGCTTAAAAGCAATTAGGCACAAGAAAATGTATGAACAAGAATGCAGAACAAGCATAAAGGCCCGCTCACACCAATGACGATAACTATAATGATAATATCGTTGGAATCACTTTAAGAACGATTTTTTTTCCAGCTGATGAACAGCCAATCAGAATCCGTCCTGCAAGACGACAAACCTGCAGCACACTTGGAACAAACAGATGATATCGTTCTTGGTGTGATCGGGCCTTAAAGGGATACTCCACTTTTTTTGGAAATAGGCTCATTTTACAACTCCCCCAGAGTTAAACTACTTGAGTTTTACCGTTTTTGAATCCATTCAGCCGATCTCCGGTTCTGGCGGTACCACTTTTAGCATAGCTTAGCATACATCATTGAAGTGGACAAGACCATTAGCATTTCTAAAAAAAAAAATGACCAAAGAGTTTCGATATTTTTCCTATTTAAAACTTGACTCTTCTGTAGTTACATCGTGCGCTAAGACCGACGGAAAATGTAAAGTTGCGATTTTCTAGGCTGATATGGCTAGGAACTATACTCTCATTCCTGCGTAATAATCAAGAAACTTTACTGCCGTACCATGAGTGCAGCAAGCGTAATGATATGACGCAGCGCCTGAAAATAGGCCACCTTCCGTCAACACAACGGAACTATTTTCAGGCACAGCGTCATATCATTACGCCTGCTGCACTCATGGTACGGCAGTAAAGTTTCTTGATTATTACGCAGGAATGAGAGTATAGTTCCTAGCCATATCAGTCTAGAAAATTGCAACTTTACATTTTCCGTCGGTCTTAGTGCACGATGTAACTACAGAAGAGTCAAGTTTTAAATAGGAAAAATATCGAAACTCTTTAGTCATTTTTTTTTTTAGAAATGCTAATGGTCTTGTCCACTTCAATGATGTATGCTAAGCTATGCTAAAAGTGGTACCGCCAGAACCGGAGATCGGCTGAATGGATTCAAAAACGGTAAAACTCAACAGTTTAACTCTGGGGGAGTTGTAAAATGAGCCTATTTCCAAAAAAAGTGGAGTATCCCTTTAAGACTCCGAGAATGGTGCAACTGAACCCTTTTTTTTGCATTCAAACTGAATTACGCAACTATATTGTCAATGTCAAACATAAGTCAGAAGTCAAACATTGGCATCAGATCTCAAAAATATCATCATACGGTTCTTATTCAATCAGCTTCACAACACTATCATTACAGAGCAAAAAAATATCTCACACATCCCAACACCATTCAAAGCCACATGAAATTATGACATTGCTGAGAAGTTGACATGAAATTATGGCATTGCTAAGAAGAAAATTGTGAACGATACATGGCATAGCATTTCGGAAAATGAGAGAGAACAAACAGTAAAGGAGAAGATCTAAAACACTGTGTGCACAATGATTACAACGTTAGAATATACTGTATTACGAACACGATCCCAATAGGAATCCTAACTTGGCCTCTGTGATAAAAGCGATGTTTAACTATGTCTGAAAACATGGCAAACCTCAAAGGCTTCTCAACGTAAAGCTGAGGTCCGGCATCTCAGCGGGTTTAAAGATAGAGCCAAATGGCCCGTGCTAAATGGATGTACGGCCAGTCTAAATATCTAAACCACTAAATCTCTCATTTCACCCAACTACAGAGAAAGCAATGTCCTCTCCCATCACTGAAAAATGATGATCACCACTTGCCATTTTGAAGAATGTGATACTCACTAATCCTATACATGCGAACATTCTAACATTACTAAGTACACAACTGTAAACACATAGTAGCGAATGATGTGGGACGGACACAGTAGACCTGGATGTAAAAAAGCCTGTATTTTTCATATTTCTTCACTAAAACCACAAGGAGGAATGTAAAGGAAAGCACAGAAATAATAGGAGCTTGTGAAAGATGAACTATTGCATGCAGCTAGAGTTTATCCTTGTGCATGGTTTCATTGATTCCACACTAGATTTCTTTGCAACAATCTAAAAGGTAAAGCATTTACAGTGTGTTGCATGCATGAGGAGATGCAGCATAAAGCATCAGGCATTCGCTTTGATCATTCAGTGTTCACATTACAGGCACAGTCACCATAACTTCCCACAGTGCACTTCTGCCAACAGTGTTAAACTCTAAGCAAGTGTTTAAGGGACAAATTATTCCTCTTGGCGTGGCATTCAATAACTTCTCGCTCTTTGATCCCTGTTCTCTGTTTTCACAAGAGGAGAGGGAAGAATTACAAACTTTCAACAAATCATGAAAACGGGCGCTCTTTGGAAGGATTGCAAAACTTTCCCTAGAGAATGCAAAACCGCTTGCATGCAATATGAAGGATAAATCACACAGAGGTGTGATGGTTCATAAACAATTTATCAAATAGCACAGATCCCTGTGGAGATGTTATTTTAGTAGAGCGGTCTTCTGGACAGCATTATGGAGATGATTTCTCACAGCCTTCAATGGACATTTATATGACAGGTGTCATGGACATATTTAAATCACACCATTCTAATTATTATAATTATGTAATGATAACAATCTCTCAAGTCATCTTGCCGGTCTTAAAACGCACGCACTGATTTCAACAGGAAATCAAAACTAGAATAATTATATTAACTGTGGAAATGAATACAATTTATGGGAGTCCTGGAACTATTTTTTGATTTTCCAGTCTGGATCATTTTAACGCCATTGGCACATAAAGCATATTTCAGAGGTGAGCATATATTTTTTTTCATGATGCTAGATTTATAATTCTTTCACCTTCCCAGGTATTCATTGACTGTGGGAATCCTGTTACTATGAACCAACATTGACACTTCTAGGAAAGATCTAGGAAATGCTGTTATTAAAATCGATAACCTCTGACATATGTTTACTACTGTCATCTGCGCTACGAAGTTAGCCACATGTGTTCCTGCACGTCCCTAGTCCGTTTCTGCGGTATGCTACACAATTAATGCAAGTTGTGCATCAAAGTAACTTTTTCGCAAGTACGTTTTCATGTTTTGCAAGACAAGAGGCCATTTTGCGACCGCATAGTTCTCTGGTCTTGTACCATCCTCGCGTAGTGAAGTGCAACCCCACACCCCCTTGAAAAGAAAGAGAAAAACAAAGTTGCGGAGAGCGAATGCACCGCACAGAAATTAAGTTGTTAGAGGGTAAAATTCCCATGCAAGTGCACCGATAGAGACGGAAACGTACTTGCACGATCTCGCCCTCTGCGCTGATAGTGGCTCCGGCTCTGGAGAAGCGCCCTTGCAGACCTGTCGTGTAAGTGGTATAATCACCATTTGGGCTCGACTCAAAAAGAACAACTTCCACAAAGGCAGTATCCTTGGCTACGACGCTTCCCAAGACCCAAAACAACACCAAGACCACCGAATCAGCACCACGACCGAACCCACTCCTCGGTAAAATCATCATCTTGCCGGTTGGATCAGCGCCGATCGGAACATAATTTCCAAGGGTCTTCAAAAAAGTGTTGCTTCAGAATCAAATTTGAGAGGAGAAAGCTCCCTCCCAAAATGCAAACGACACCAAAAAAGAAAAGAAAAAACCCCAATGGATGGTGCGAAATGATAATAGCGATCATTAAAAATAAAAGTTTGTCCTTGGAAAGAATGTCGTGGCTGATTTCACCATTGCTGCCCGCACTATCGCATTGCTCGCGCGCTCGCTTATGCCTCGCTGGCTGCTGCTCGCGCTCTCTGTACAAAGCGGATCTCCTTTGATCTGGGAACACGTGATTCCTTAATTTTTTTTTTTCCACAAAGGGTTAACCCCACCCACCGATCTTCCTGACCCTCTCTATTCTAGTGGTGGGGTTTATGATTCATCCAAGTGACTCGAATCTTTTGAATCAGCTCATTAAAAAGATTTGTTCAGGAACCGGTTATTTCAGGGAACTTTCTCAGAACTTTGGCTAACGTGTTTCTCAAAGTTATGAACAAACATCCTTCAAATAACGTATCATGCTTGTTCAGAGTTATCTGTTAATAACTTCTCGCAAAAGCACAAAAACGATAGGCTATTATTCATAAAGGCTACATTGTTCGTGGAACTTTCTTTTCCTGAAATGTTTTAGTTGGATGTTTGTTTAACATTTTAAATGTTAGTTGTTTCAGAATGTTCAGAGAACATTCAAAAGTAACGTTCCCATGTTTGCAGAATGATAAAATGGTATATCATTTTTAAAACATTTCATAAACTTGACGTTTTGAACATTTAGAAATAACGTTTTCATATGATATCTTAATTACGTTCTTACAACATATTTTGTTAGCTTAAGTTATCTTTTTCTTATTATTCTTTAATTCGCTCTACAAATCCAGAGGAGACGCCATAAACAGTAGCTATTTAAAGATAATAAACCTTTCCCCATAAGCGACAACTAAGCAGATAGGCCTGTATATATTTGTCAGCTGCTGCATAATGTCTGTCAAGCTTCTGAAAAATATAACAACAATTCTTCTGCAACTTTCGGTAACGTTACTTCATTGTAGTTGTGTGTAGCCTGGTCATTTTTACACATGCATCATTCTAATTATGAGCAAAATACGTACGTTTCAAATGGGAGAAACTTTAAAAAACTAAAAATGAGTTGAATCGAAGTGAAAAAGATTCATTCTTTTAAAAGACTCGTTCAAAACAACCGATTCGTCAACGTCAATTCCACTCCCCTGCTCCTCTCCGCATTGAATCATTAAGGAGGAGCGACACTGTTTGGATGATTCATACGCAGAAATGTGCATGTGTAGCCTAGTAGGTAATAGCTTTGAAGTTAATTGCTGGGATTGTCCTTTCGTATATAATATATTATAGTCACAAAACAGTTTTATTACTTTTGCTGGAAGATTGGCCAACGTATCCCTTAGTTGTGATTAGCCGACTGTGAGGGAACTTGTTGAACTACCTTGATGTACTACCTTAAAAATATAAATCTTCTCAAAATTATTAAGTGTTAATTTTACCAGTTGTCTCTATAACTTTCTATGACTCTATGACTTTACACGTTGTATATTATTGTGTAAAGTTTTTTCAAGTAGGCCTATTCTTGCCTGTCTTTCTGAGAGAATTTGAAAGCTATTAGTTTTAAAACACCTTTAAAGTCACCATGAAATCAAAATTGACGATTCTTTAAAAAAAAAGTGTGTGTGTATATATACAATATATATATAGAATGTTGCAGTATTTATTATAATTGATTTATTACTTTTTTAATTCATGTGCTTTCGTAATCTTTCATCAAAATAACCCTCACTTTTGCAGCAACATCTCTTCTCTGATGATGTGTTTACTGGCATGAGGTCAGGTCACCTACATTTTTTTCTTGTTCGAGAAGACGTTTTATTCATATATAAGTCACATTAGGGAAGAAAAGACAAACGCAACTTCCATCCATCATGACGAATTTAACGTCTAGGGCTGTGTCCGAAATCGCCCCCTATACCATTAAATAGGGAACAGGGGACAGACATTTATGGGCCATTCTACAGAATTGGAAACGTCTTGAAAAAAAAAGTGTCTTTTTTCACAAATTGTGTATGTATGCAAATTGTATACACATTTCTAGTAATTGTGCAGTTAATTATCATATTGTATTTTCAGAAAGTGTTGGAATATTTTCCTCTCCCCAAATTTGTCACTACCGAAACACAATAATAAATAATTTAATAAGAGGGCTTATATTGACCCATTAATATTTAGTTTACATCTACCTTGCAAATATATTTTTTGCTATTAAAAAAAAAAAAATCACAGGTAAATCAATAACAATTACAATTTTAACAATATTTCAAGTGTAATTTAATAGATTTTTTTTGTATTTTGAATCCAATCTTTCTTTGTAAAAGGCATTAAGTTAATCATACTGATTTCAAAGTTAAGGATACTTTAGTTTGAATATACATTGAACCAAACACTATAATAACATCTGATAATTCAATATACTTTATTTTAGACAAAACATGCATGTTTCGGTAGTGACGGCACATTTTCGCTATAGTAATGTTGGTAGCGACCACATCACATTACAGAATTTTAACTCGCATACTAAAACACTACTATAACATACTAAGATACTAATGATTTGCATAACTGTATAACTACAATTTTGTTTATTTCCCCCAAATAAATTATTATGTGTTCCCTTTTGTCACTAGACTCACTACCAAAACAATGATGACATGTTTCAGTTATGACTCTTTCGGTAGTGACAATTTTAGATACTTTTGAGCCTAGCTCAAAGATGCTAATCAGCACATGATTAACTAGCGCAGTTCTGAAAAGTTGTACACACACAAAAAGGAAATTTATCGAATAACACTCAAAAAACCATGATGACCATCATCACAACCGAAACTTCACCACATGTTTTGGTAGTGACTGTTTCGGTAGTGACACATTTTTCAAAGATGATAACCAGCACAAGGTTACCTAGCACAGTTCTGAACAACATAAAAACTAAATTTTATGGATTTACACCCAAATAAATTTGCTTAATTGCAGAAAAAAGGTGTTTGGTAGTGGCGTTCCTTAAAGTTACACACAGATTATCAGACTTTTAAACACATTTCCCTCAACATGATGGTACCTATCTACAATGAAAGACAAGCTATGAGAGAGAGTGACACAGGAATATTCAACGCTGCAACGCATTCTCATCCCAAGGCGTCATATACTGACGCTTTTGCCAAAGCGTCTACATCCGACGCACATGGCACCCTTTAGCGTCAATACAACACGCTTCGGTTATGGGTAGGTTTAGGTCTGGGCTAGTGTTAGGGTTAGACCACTAGGAGGCGCCTATACCTGCGTCTCATATTGACACTAAAGGGTGCCATCGCCATGTGCGTTGGATATCTAGGATTGGCAAAAATATTTCCTGATCAAAAATGTAGGGGTGTGGTTAAAATCAGTCTCAGCCAATGGACTAAAACACACACTGTTTCGGTAGTGACATGAAAATGCAGGACATATTTTTTTACATAAAGTTTCATGATTTAAAAATAAAATATAAAATAAATGTCTGTTTTTTAACTTCACTTTTAAAAAAAATCAAAAAGATATTTTTTAAAACAACAATGGAAAAAATTTAATATAAACATTTCAATATCATTTTCACAAGTTGAAATTTAGGGGTTAGTGTTCGGGACAGCCCCCTCCCAATTGAAAGTACCCAATAAATGATGATTTTATGTATATTAAGCTTACTGATGTTTTAAATAGTATTGTGGGATTCAATAAATAATAGAAGGATCTTTGTATACATCTAAAATTTGAATACTTAAATTCTATTTAAATGTGTTTCTTGTTTGTGGGACAGCAGTTTGCACCAATTCTGTAGAAAGGCCCTTATAGTGGTGCCCGAAACCATAGTGGACATTATCGAGTGCACGCATTCAATCCCATAAAGCACCGCAATAACAAATGTACATCCGATGGACACTCTATACCCATAATGCACTGTGAGAGTCGCGCGCCAAATAAATTCCCGCATCTGACCAGAAGATGGCGCCCACAGCGGAATCATCCATCCATTTTCCAAACCAATGTGGCTACAGCGTAGGCCTAATATCATACATGTACACATTTTTCCTTTTTAATTGATTGCTTAATTAAGGTTTATACATAGTTCCCTTTCGTTGTCACTCCGAGTTCCGTCGGATGACGACGAATGGGGGTTTCGCTTAGAAAGCCTATCGACTTCGAGTATACAAAACGAGCCAATGGCAAACAAATGCCATGGGTCTGCGGAATTTGCATGGCGCAACTCCGCCCCACCTCGTGGGAATAAAAGGAGAAAGCCGGCAATATGCAGATATGTTTTTGCTTCGGAGCCAAGATGTTCTCTTCACTCCTGCAGTCTATTCTCTGACTATCTTCGAGAATCTTCAAGACGAGCAGCTTCCAGTCGGTGTTGGTGTGATGGCGTGTTCCAGCGAGTTTCACATTCCTGCCTGCTGATCTGAACAGCTGTGTGCTTCTCCCTAGGCGCTTCAGCACTGCTGCAAGCTTTTCTCACACAAAAAGAGCGTGCACGCGGCGCGTCTTTTTAAAGACGATCTGCCCGTGCATTTCTGAGTGCGGTAGTCGATAGATTCAGCTGATGGGCACGAGCGCTGTTTTGACGTGTTTGGGCTTCGATCACGCTCGAACAGCGCTCGCGGATGCGTCACGTTCTCTACGGGGAACATGACCATCGCAATGACGGTCAAGACTCAATGAGCTCAACTGAGTGAGAGTCCCCTCATCCACACCCCGATCTATTTTCTCCACGTGAGAGAATACTTTGGCTGGTGGCCAGGGTGACCTGAGATGGCTGGTGTGGAACTAAACCGCCGATTAATATCCGTGGTCCACACCCCTCTCTTTAACATTGCAACCCGCGCGGTTCTGAATGAGTTAGCTGGTCAGAGCCGCGTCCAGAGGACGCCGGCGGGCCGGCATCTCATTCAGTTCCCCGGCTGATGAAATCATGTCTATCACCGCGTCACAAGGTGAGCTGGAGTCCTTTGGAAGTGAGGGCTTGTCTATGTTGCCACTCTCGGGTGTGCAACATAGCGAGTCTGATCCAGAGTTGACAGCTATGCTTCCCGGGCCGCCGCGAGTATCGGGCATGTGTGGATTACTCTGCCATGTCTCGAGCACTCAAGGCTGATGATTGGTTTTGGGGAGGCGAACCCAAAATCCTTTCTACCCGGATGTGCATGAAGAGGTCATGAGATCGT